TATCAACATCTATCAGACAACCTTTTTAATGTGTTGTCTAATTAATATATTCTGTGCCTAATTAATATATTCCAATCTCACCTAATTCCATACCACACACTATCAAGAATCTAGGATTATGGTGGTTGCTATTTGTGAATTCTCTGAGATGACTGAATTAGTAATTCCTACTGTAGAATCTGTCATTTCTAGTGTTGAAACTTCTAGCCATGTTCACATAAATGTTATTGACAATTAGGAAATGTTTATTATCCTGGAAGCTCAGATAATCTATATTTGAAACAGATGTAGTTACAATGGGGATGAAGCTGAATGAATCACAAAGGGATCAGTGAATTTGTGAAGCTCTAGAAAGTAAATGTTTTAGCCAGTCCAGTCACTGTTGTAACCACTCAGTGCTGTTTCAAAGTGAAAACACGATGGACAGACAATTCAGGAATGAAGGAACATGGCTGCTTTCCAGTTCTTTACAGAGACAAATTGCAGATCCGAGTTTTTCAACTGTGGAATATAATCCGCCAACACTTGGGAAACTACAGTGTTTGGATCACTTTTAATGACTGTATAACTAATTATTCCCCTATTGAGTGACTTTAGGAGGTTTCAAGTTTTTCTTTTGAAAGCAGTGCTTTAGTGAGAAATTTTGCTTTTGTATATTACATTGCAAATATACAAATATTTTGTAGAATCAATTGCTGCAAGTATTATTGTAATACAAATTGCAAATACGTCTCTCTAGTTGGTCATTTATCTTTTGGCTCTCATAATTTCTGATGTGAAATATATGTTTTATGTTTCATAATGTATTATATATTTTAAAATATCAAAAAAATGTTGAAATCATGTCTAGGTTAATAAGATTTATTTGCCTTGCCATTCTACAAATTAATCTATTAGATCTTCAAATTTAATTCTTTTATCAACTTCATATTGAGCAGAATAGCTGGAAGTGTTGTCTCATGCTCTTTAAACACAGGATGGAAACAGTTGCTCAGAGTTTCCAATGTTGAGAAAAGACAGAATTGATTGTGGAATGTGTAAGGGGGGGTTATATTTTATGACATTAGCACAAGCATTTGATAAAGTATAGATTTTAGTCATGTAGGCTGATGTTTATGAACATTTGTCCTTCTTTTTTTTGATATTCATCATGTGTTATAGAATTCTTTTTTTTTCATTTTTCTCGAACATTTATCCTTATACAAGTCAGTATCATATCAACTGAATTTAAGTGTGAACTTCTACAACAGTATTGTTCTGTTTCCTCACATTTTCTTTGTAATTGGTAGAGATACGATGAAGCCAAAACTGTACAAAAGCTGCTGCAAGTCTGCCTGTGACAGGGCTGTAGCTGCACACACAGCTGCAGTTTGGGGTCAGGCTTCAGGCTTGCTGGGAGCACTGTGCTTCTGCAGCACAGAGGTAGGCGCCTGAGTCCTCCAGCTGGGCATCCCTGATGTGCAGAGTGCTGTAGCTCTCCTTGGAGTTGAATGTTGACTTTAACCTCCCATTCTCCTTTGTTCCTGGACTCAGGTAAAAAAGATTGATGAAGCTGCCCCTGGGATTCTTCCGGAACCACTGCACACTTCTCATGGTGGTAGAAAAATTGCATCTCAGAGCAGAACTGGTTCCCTCATGGAGACTCAGGACTGAAGGACTCTGCTCCACCTCATCTCCTCTCACCCCTGTTTAGAAACAAAAGCAAACCAGAATCATCCACACCTGTCTAATATCCCAGGAGACACCATGAGGTAACTGCACAGGAGCTTTGGGTTGACTCATTCCCCTTCTACCACTGACATTTCTGGAGAATCCCTAAGGCAACTTGAATGGGCACAACTCACAGCAAATCCACAACCACAGAATCCCCAGCACAGCTCCCAGGTTCCTCTCCATGATGCCTGTCCAGTTGCTGGGATGCCTTCTCTCCAGTTATGAAGGTGTTAAGTTTTGTGCCCAGATACACTTGTGCTTACACACAGCAGGTTCTCTTCAAATCACTGAGTTTCCTCTTTCATTGGAACAAGAAACCCCACCCACCTCTACCTCATGACTACAGGCAATTGCTCCACAACTGTGGAAGATAATGATGTAGAGCCCAGGACACTGTATTTCTAATATAACACTTCATATAAGGGGAGTTTGGGGAAAATGTGCGAGGGAGGGGAATTCATAAATGCAGAATACTGGTGTGAAAACTGATGGTTCCAGTGAGTTAGAAGAGCCTTGCAGAATCCTAGCAAGATTTTTTTTGACCTTTTTTTGTCTTAATTTTTTTTCATATACAATATGTTCTGATCATTGCCTCCTCTCCTCTATCACCTCCAAGAACTTCTAAACACCTTCTCACCCACCCAACTCCATGCTCTTTCTTTTTCTCTCTCTTTAGAAATCAAAAAGCAAACAAAATCCAAACAAAGCAGAATTTAAAAAAAAAAGAAGAAACACACACACACACAAATCTCTTAAAAACATAAAATACATACAAACACAGACAAAAGACCAATAAGACAAAAAAAAAAAAAAACATGCTCAAGCTTAGCAATGTGAGGCAATAACATCATTGGATTCATTCTGTGCTGGCGATCTACTGTTGGGCATGTGCCCACCCTTCCGTGTGATCAATAAACCCAACATGAAAGTTCTGGCAGAACTCTTAAATTAGAGTATTTGACAAATCAGCATGCAAGGCACTCTACAGAATTTCTTGTACTTAGGATCATCATGTATGTAGAAAGTTCCCAACAGAGTTTTGTTGGGTATAAGAAAAATATGACATGACCCCCCATGCTTCCATTCTTATTTATTTTCCATCTTTTGGCATCTGCTCAGATATTCTGCTGTGCTGTGCAAGAAAACGCAGCAGATGCAGATCAGGCTGTGAATACCTGCTCAAGTTCTGTGATGCCCCCTGACTTCTATTCTTTCATACCTATATTCCACAGGTTTTTTTCTTCTCAAGTAATTATTCCTCTTCTTAATAGTTTAGAGTACATATATATGTGTACATATTATACATATATATTATATATGATTTAAAGGTTATTGTAATAATTTCTATTTCTTTGAATTTGGGAAGTTTTAAACATAAAACTAAAAAAAGGGCTGTGGAAATGATTTCTCTTGAGTGTCCATCTGCATAATGCCCAATGAGATTCTATTTTGCTTACATCTGTTCCGAGAATTGTTCTTAAAATAGATTTATTGACATGGGGGATCTAGTGAACAGGCTCTAGATATCTATGGTTTTATATAGAATGATCGAGAGCTAAAGATCCGGTGAACTCCACACAGTGACCCCTACTCTTTGCTTTGTGGGTTGATTGCCTCATGTCTCTTCTCAGCAATTCAAACCTCTAGGCAACTTAAGAAACAGAAATTTCTAGAAACCTTGCAGTGCCCCCTAGTGGACTGACATCACCACCAAAAGTGACTTCAGGCCATCTCCAACAAGCCTCACTAAACCAACCTTTTCACTCTATCACTTCATGGTAAGGAAATGCAAATGGTCAGAAGACAAGACTGTCTAGATGGAGTTCTCAAAAGAAGAAATAAAAGTGACCAAGAAATATCTCAAAATTATTCATCATCCTTAGCAATTAGGGAAATACAAATTGAAACAACTTTGAGATTTCATCTCACCCCAGTTAGAGTATCTAAAATCGATAAAACAACTGACAATAAATGCTGGGGATCGGGGTGTTGGGAGGGGAGGAGCCTGCATTCCCTGTTGAAGGGAATGAAAATTGGTACAGTTACTTTGGAGATGGGTATGGGGAGTCTTCGACCAACTAAAGATAAATTTACCATACAACCCAGTTATGCCACTTCTTGATATATGTCCAAAGAACTCTACATCCTACTCCACAGATAGTTGCTTAGCTATGCGTATCGCTGCTCTGTAGTGGGTAGCTGTTCCAGCTTTGACCTTGAAACACTGCCTCAGTAAGGCAGCCAGTAACTGCTACA